CGTTCCAAGATTTCCAAAAACTTGCAGAAAGATTTTAGTTTTTCCAACCAGCTCTCGTGAACAAACCTTTTTCTTTTGCATGAAGGCAGATGTGTGATCGCATACAGTAAATGCGTGTAAACTTGGCAGAGCTGGGCATAGATTTTGACCAAGATATTTTGCCAGTGTAATGTCTTGTGTTATTCCCATCGTGTCCCACATCTGTTCAGACCCTTGATTGTAACTTGTTCACGTGAAACAGCAGTCCTGGCAAAGCATCAATATAACAGTGCACAAGTATAATTTATGCTTGCAGCTATCTATTTTTATGTAAACTGATATGTGAAGATTGCACTAAAAATGCAGAAATCATACATGTTTTTATACTCTTACCCACTATTCTGCTATATCTTTGAGCCTTAATTAATCGACTGATTCTGTAAAACTGGACAGGTTGCTGCAACTAAGTTTACCTAATTCATATTCTACACACTTTTTGTATTAAATCCACCTTGAAACCTTTTGCACTTGGATGGAAAAGGAATCCCCACCCCACAGCCCTAATTATATTTTGTTTGATTTGAATTATTTTGCATGGCCTGCTTGTTATTATTAAGATTGAGCTGTAGAGTGCTGTAGAAGCTCAGATAGTTTGTTGCATGTTTACTACAAATTTATTATCTCTGGGGAAACAACTTACATGTTACTCTTTACTCTTACAGTATTGCTTGCTTGCTGGGAAAGCTTTCTACCATTTTGCCTCCATCTTCTAACTCTTCCAAAATCTATCCACCTCACTATTTGCCTTCAAAATGGACCAAAAGATGCCTCTCTTTGACTGCACTTCCCCCCCCCCCCTCTATCTCACACTCTCCCTCCCAGTTTAAGCTCCAATTCAGTCTTTCTAAAAGTATTTTGACAATCCCCTTGAAAGAAAGGTGCTATGTTAGTGGAGGTTGTTGTTGTGCACTTAAAAATGTTAGAAAAATAGTAATCTGCTTATTATTGCTGAGCTGAAGAAATTTAATGTACAGGTTTGGGTCTTTTGCCAGCTATTTACTGATGGTATTACTAGTTTGTTCATTAATAAATACACCCCTGATTTGTGCTTGGAAAGGTCCCACGACGTGAATCACTGAGAAATTTATCTGGGGATTGTTGGCCAAACTCCCTACTGTGTTGGAATAGTCTCATGCAACATTTAGCATCCAGCTGAACAGTGCCCGCAAACCACAGTTTGAAGTCTTACCTGAAGGCTGGCGCTATAATGTAAGGTCCCATTATTGCGCTAGAATTTCTTCCTAAACCGAATTTAGAATTTTCAACTAATTCACCACAACAACAACAACAAAATTACATTTATAGGGCGCTTTTCACGTCGAGAGGATGTCCCAAAGCGCAAATGTCCTCCGCCCGCTTTCTCACCCGCACTAAATTCCGTACCTTCATTACCACAGTACTTGTCAAACTCCATTGGCTCCCTGTTACAGAGTGGATCGATTTTAAGTTCCTCACTCGTATTTAAATCCCTTCATGCCCTGGCACCCTGCTCTCATAAACCTGCTGTCTCCCTAGACTACTGCCCACTACCTCCACTCGACTGGCTCCAGCCTCTCCTTGTCCCCCAGACCCTCCGCCCCCCATTGGCGGCTGTGTTTTCAGACACTACGCCCTGAAGCTGTGGAACTCTTTCCCTTGATCCATTCACCTTGCCCCCACTCTCCCCATTTTCAGATTGTGCTTGAAGACCTTCCTCTTTGACTGTGCCCACGGTCACGTTTCCCCCTCTCCCTGGCTTGGCATCAGGCTCCGCCACTAATAAGTGCTCCAAGACATCGTCTGGTGTGAAGGGTGTCTGTATCAATGCAAGTTGTTGTTGTCTTGGGGGCCACAAATTCTAGTTTCTACTAAACTCGAGGGCGCTGTGCCAGCTTCTCCCAATAATATACATACCAGAGCAATCCAATGGAGAGGGTTAATGTGATGTGGATGCCTATAGGTTTATTACACACTGGCAACACTGATTTGGTATATTTACTGACTTGTCTTGTGATATCTGAAAAGATTAAATACTTCTCTTTCCTGTCCGGACTCCTTCTATAACTTTTTGATGGATATTTATTTATTTACATGGCAGCGTGCAAGAATTATCTTGAAACTATAACCTAGTGGAAAGTTTTTGTTAATTTAATTTTGTTAACCAAATATCCAGTAAATTAATCAAAATTCTGCAGATTCCGGAAATCTGAAAACAAAAACAGAAGTTGCTGGGAACACTCAGCAGGTCAGGCAGCATCTGTGGAGAAAGGAACATGAGTTAACGTTTCGGGTCCACGGCCCGTTGTCCGAGCACACGAAGAACACAAAACGTTGACTCACTTCCCTTTCGCCATGCTGCCTGACCTGCTAAGTGATCCCAGGGACTTGTGTTTTTGTATCCAGTAAATGTGTACACATTTTTGTTTCAAAATAGGACAGCTTGTTGCAGGGTAAAGGACATCCTTTCGTTATTCACAGTGAC